TCTGCGGTCTTAATTGTACTTATTGAGCAAGTAATGTTTTCCAAAAGTTTCGTTATAAGGCAGTTTTAAAGTGGCTTTTTTCATGCATGAAAAGGCTCTTAAGAGTTAACTCATTGTCAACAAAAAAAGCATTGTTAGTTTTGTTAATCCATGTAGCTGTTCATTTGTGTTGTCACAACACGAGTGCAATTCAAACTGTGAATATGTTTGTACATGTTTCATTTAACTGATAGCGGAGAATTTGTCAAACATTCTAAATACCAGGAATGAATGACGTGTTTTAAACTGAATGTTGAGATCTGAGATCTGCAGATCTTTCCGATCCCTGCGGAGAACTGGGCTAACATTTTAAAGGAGTTCAGTCACGCTATTGAGCTATTTTGGCCACATATACAAAATTACCTTAAAAATTGAAGAAACCTGAAAATAATAGTTTAATAGGATAGAAAAACACTAAAGATATGATAATAAACCATAAAGAAACAAGAATGGTTTAGGATGGAGAAGATTAACACGGATTACAAATGACGACAAACTTGAGAAATTTAGGCTAAACGTGATGTGGCTCCTTTGACTGAAACCCGAGAAATCGACGCGAAATTAACCAGATAACTGGGATTCTATCCTCCCTATCGAGACCGTCCTTTCAGCGCCCTTACACGCAGTACTTTAAGAAACCCCATTCGAAACTGTTTCGTTCGAATTGCATAAACCCAGGGATTACAAAACGAACTGATAAATGACAGAAAAGCCGCCCAAAACCACAGATAGTCTATACACTGTATTTCAGAGGGATCAGCAGTTGAAACATGCCACAGTGAGAGGGCGAGACTTGGCGACCACAAAAACGCGAACAGACCGATCACAATACACAAAGTTAAAGCAGCCTTCTTGTTTTTCAAGACTTCCTTGTAATAACGTGAATTGATGACGCTATCTGCGGCTATGCGAAGACATTGCGTTTGCGCGGCTTGGAAGATGTAAACGTAACAATACAAGATGACAAAGAAAGGCAGAAAAACCGTTAAAACTGTTGTACAAATCCACAGCGAAGGGAGATCTTCACCGCGGTGGATAACAAGACGCTGGGAAGCGTAAAAGAAGGAGAAAACCCATATTGACGCCACGCAATAGCAAGAACGCTTAACTGTGACAATTTCGGAATAACGCAAGCACTCTTTCACTGCGATGAAGCGCTCAATGGAAACAGCTGTCAGAGTGAAGGTTGAGGTTATAACCGTTTGAAGCCACAACCAATGTTCTGCGACTCGTAAAGGGTGCTGATCATCTTCCGTGGCTTTAACGATGAAGATCGAAGTATAAACTGGATTCATGAGCAAACCAACCAGCAAATCAGCGACGGCCAGTGAGGCAATGAAAAAGCTAGAAACCTTTCTTAAGGGAGAAAAGCTGTAAATTGCTGTCAAGACTAATAAGTTGCTTCCCACGGATAAAATCCCGGAGATGGTATTCAACCAGGCCAAGAGAGTGTATGAAGAGTCCTCAAATGATGTGCCTATGTTCCAGCAAAGCGTCGAGTTTTTCATTTTTTTCAAAATAAGCCGTTTCATTGAATCATTCCATAACTCATATTCAGATTGATAATGAACTTAACACACGACAGCCTTGCTCAGTTCTAACTTAGATTTGTTGATTTTTGCCTTAATAGTTTTCACGCATCATGCCAAAGTTTTCGCAGGTGAAAGATCTTATTACCCACAGCTACAATTAACCTCTTAGCCACTTCCTTAGTTAAATTAGCTTTGTTTACCCAGGAACATAGTTCCTTTCATATTGGTGTCAATAACGTCTTCATTTATAATGAACTGAAACAAAAGCGGTTAGTAAAAGTATAATTTGCTGCGGCTCTGTCTACACAGAATAAGATCTATTTTTAATAACCTTCAGGCAAGCCTGAATAGCTCGTTTATTAACACCAGTTTTTTTGTAGGTATAGTATATATTGGTGGGTTATAATTTGTTTCGATGAACCACAATACCATTTTTTTTTAAGTTCAGTTTTCTTTTACGTTCGGAAAATCTCGTTTCTTGAAATAGCTGGGTCGCTTCTGTGATTAAATTTTGACTTAATTTGTTTTTAACTTTTTAAGGTCTCAATTGCTTCAGAGGATTTGTTTTCAAAATCTCGGACTTTCAATAATAGATTGACGTCAAGGTTCTCCCTTGGATCGAAATACAGCGGATGTAGCTGACAATTTTAATTGTATCTGAAAGGGTAGCATTAAAGATATTTCATAACCTGTAAATGCTACCGCATTGAGTTGAACAGCGGTATTGCGCACTAGGCGCCAGTTTTACCTCGATGTAGAGTCACGTGACAAAAAAAGGCACATGAGTTTTGCTGTTCCGAACAAGGTCGAACCTCGGCAGTTTGTAAATGTACTATTTTCGCCTCGGTTCTTTCGTCAAAGATTGTGATAATTCTGAACTACACGCCGGAAGTCTTAAGGCAAGGAAGGTACGGAAAGACTTGTGTATCAGATGTAGCGAAATTAAAGATATGGCAGTTCGTTTACAAGCCGTGAGTATGATCTTTTGGAACTTACCGACGGTCACATAACCCAATAGCTCTGCCGAGTAAATCGACTGAGGCTGATCCTATGTCTCTCTCAGGCGTCAAGGCCTTGTGGGATACGTTAAGAAAAACACAGACCCCGTTCAGCTGGCGAGAGAAACAGGGCAATCTGGTTTTACAAAATAACAAACTGAATGATTGGAGTCACGATTTAAACGCTGTAATCAATTGCAATTCCAATTTTAAATGCTGTGATCAATTCCCGCTGTAATCAACTCCAAAAATTTAAGTTGGGTTAATTTCAGTGGTGTTTGCACCAAGATGATTTTTCATGACACAATTAGGTTCTTCAACGCTATAGCGAACCCGCTTAAAGGTTGTTAGAAAACGCCACGAAGGAAATCGCTTTCTAAGTCTGTACTTATATTTGTCAAGTAGATTATGAGCTCGAGACTTCGAAAACCCAAAGAAGCGGCTTCCATTCTGTTAACAACCACACACTGCTGAATTACTCACTATCTACAACAGAATAGATATAAAAAGTGAAGAGCGAAGCCTTCCTACATCAGCCACACTGTTTGGTCACGTGCGAACAGTACATACATTCACTAACCTCTCTACGACGGCCACCTCTTCACAACGGTAGATGCTGCAATCTGATTGGTTGACCTATCGTACTCTATCAGCCGTAACCGTGTAGTAGCTGTTAGTCGTCTGCGAAATGGCCGCGTTTTCTCGTTTTCCCGAACCTAGGAGTAACATTTAGAAACAAATGGATAATTGAATTCTTGAAGCTCCTCTTCTCGGTAAATGTTTGTTTTAAAAACATCAAATTTCCTCAGGGCAACTATCAGCCGAAAGTTCCTCGACAGAAACACTCTATTGTTTGAATAGAAAACGATGAAAGAACCAATCAGACAAGCGGATTTCCAATAGAACACAGCAGTGCTGATGATAATCTCTGTGCAAATTAATAGATAGACATCAGACAGGCACGATTAGAATTAAAGCTTAGTAGCTACAAGAAAAATAATAAAATAATATAACAAAAATAATAATAATTTATAGCCTTTACAGATTAAGTACGGATGCTAACAAAAACATGATTGTTGATTATTAATGGGGTTTTTATGGCGGTAAAATCACAAGATCAGACGTTGTCTAGACAGCATATTCAGATCAGAATGCATTAATACAGTATTTAGTTTGTTTCTTGAGTCAAATCTAACTTTTTCTTTCAAATCTAGTTTGTCACTGCTTCACGTAATTATCTTTAAGACAACACGACAGTTTTGCGATGTATGAAGCCATACTTTTTGAAAACTATACCGGAACTTGTAAGCAGATTTTGTTATTCATAAAAGTTGAAGACTCAGAGGTCACTCAAGTTTAGTGATTAATGGCCTCCTGTTAGCTTAAGTTGCAAACACATCTGTACTCTACGATGGATAAAGAAGCACTGAAAATGCCGGCAGACTTCGGAGTGAGGAGGGAATTATTTTGAGAACAATATTAGAACCAAGCTTTCGCGCTGTTGTTGTAACGAACGTCACGCAAGTTTGTAACGCAAGTCGCTTGTTCAATGCTAATTCTCGCTTCAGCTGTTTCTGTCACTGATTCTTTCATCTTTTGCATGTACGTAAAACGGTTTGAAGTACAGAAGATGAAGCATTTCCTTTGGTAATTACGGTTAAATTTCCCATTTATCGATGGAGACAAGTTCATTTATGAAAACAGCAAGTCACTATCTTCTGTTGTAAGTGGGCTTTTGTTTACATCTCCCAACAGAAGGCGTCGCGTCGCTGTTGAATCCACTGATCACAGTTTCGTATGTCTTTCACTCGATCATAGAACTCGTGAGATGGCAGTCCGTTAATTCCTTGATCTCCAAGTCGCATTCTGCGACCGCATTGCGGGCAAATGACAGAGTTCTCGACAAGAAACTTCTTGAGACATGCTTCACAAAACACATGCAGACAGTTGAGTATTTTGACATTGTTGCTGTCGACTTTGTTGCAAAGTTTACATGAAGTATGATTGTTGTTTTCCTTTGAGAGGACATATGATGAAACTCTTGCATCCATTTTCGTATAATAAAGGCAATTCTCTAACCAGCTTTAATGATATTTCACGGTGAGTCATTCGTTATGACCTTATCTAGACCTCTCCCTTAGGGCCGGAATTTTATCACTGGTTTTCCGTTTCACTGCGTCACTTTATCGTGTATGCTTATATAAATACAATTCGCGGTATTTAGAATTTGAATAAGCAAATATTTAACGAGAGAGTCGTTTCTCTCCAGTGGTCATGCGAGAGCCAAATCAAAGTTTAAACTTCAGCTACCGTAATCCAGCTTATATGACGGGCGAAAAGGGGACGAGGAATTGATGTGTCAGGAATTCTATCTCAAGTACAGTCAAAATGTTATCAAAGAATACATTGCGCAAGATACTAACGAAGGCGTAGGAAGCCCTTCTCGGTTGACTGGTCGATGCCAAAAGGAACCAAAAGTAATAGGGGAAGCTGGCGAACTTTGACTCCATTCTTCTCTGGCAATCAAATAATCAAGATGGCGACAACTCATAAATGGAAGAAAAAGGGAGAGAAGTTTGATTCGCCTTCTATTTTGACAAAATAAGAAACAAAAACAACAACAAAAACAACAACAAAAGTGGTGATTGAAGTGACGTTCCTGGCAAGCTGACGGAAAAGGAAACACATTCTGGGCCACCGAAAGGAAATGACGTCGTTACGGTCAGCGAGTATTTCGCTAACCTTGGTCAAGCCGAGTTACTCGGTTTCAAGCCGTTTTATGTGAATAACAATATCATGCTTAAAATAACGTCACAAAGGTTTCAGTGTTTCAGGAAAAACGTTTATTCCTCCCTACAAGCATAATTTCCTTTGAATTCCGCGAGTTTCCCTTCAAGTCTTTTTTCGGGTTTTTTTTTTTTATTTATTTTATTTTATTTTATTTTTTTGCGACGGCTGGTCACGTGACGTGCTTTTCAAGAACAAATTTAGTCATTAGTATAGCATAATGTCATCAGAAATGGAAAAAATATTCACAAATAAGCTTACATGCAAATTTTCAGGTTAATATCCTTTACGAGGGAATTGTTGTGGGCGTTTGAGGTTAGCAGAATTTATAAGGGGGAAGCCAAAATCCTTGGAATTTTGTAAGTTTTCAAGCTGCCACAAAATCTTTGCCTTTTGGTCTGAGAGCCTAGAATTTTCCATTCTCCCCGATATTTTACTACTCTTTCTATCTCCGATAGTTATATGCCAGCAGCTTCCCATTGTAGTGATTAATAACGGAAAAGCTTTCTTCGCTTCCATACAAAAGTGGAGCCTTGGAGCCGACTGGCTCATAGCTGC